CCTCGCTCGGAGGGGGGGGGGAGGGAGGTCGTACCTACACCAACATCTAACATATCAGGATGCTGTACCCTATCTACAGACTGCTTCACAGGCAGCCACAACTCCCGAGGAAATGTCCATGCTCACAAATACTGGAGAGTCCCGGTAAAGGAAACAGATATGAGAATAGGGAGAGACTGCTAATGCCAGTTAGATTTACCCATAGTCACGAAATGGGGATCATTTGTGAAGCTCTAAGGATGACATCATTTCTAGAGCACTTACTTTGACCCACTAGCTTTCTGAGCCCTCTCTGCGGATTCGAAGCTTACATTCCGCTGCGAGTGTGAACTATAGATCAGAGAGGATGACAGAAGAGAAGAAGAGAGGAACCACACGTCCCAACGAAATCGACCACGGTGTTTTTTCGGGGTAGGACCGCTGCGGGTTACAGGAACCATTGTCCCTCTGATCGACTTGTCTGTAGCACGAGTGGGCACGAAAGTTCATTCCTGGAAGTCTTAACGCGCAATCATAAGGATAAAACCAGAAGGGCCAGCGAATCTAAGACACATAAATCTTTTTAATTTCCATCATGACTGGTTTCGGTATCCCGGCAACCGTCGCATTCCACTTTTTCACCATATGTTGCGGTTCTCCTGCACATACGTCGAATCGCGAGCTTACTATCGTACCGGCAAACTCGATATAGGATACAGTATCACATGGTTACGGGTACGTAGTCGACTGATATAATGTTCAAGCAGCTGCTGTTTGCTTCGACTCAAAGGTTTAACTATAGTATGCGAGGGTAAATGACCAGTGCCATAGGAAAAGACATATGCAAAGTGCTAAACAAGACCCGAAGAATAAGGACAACAACTATCAAATCAGAAACAAGAAGAAACAAGAAGACATAAACTGCTGATCTAAACCACATCATCAACGCCTATGATGTGCAAAAATCCATTTTAGTTGGAACACTCTTTAACTGCGTCGAAGTTTTGCTGGAAAAAAGGTTGGGAGAGTCGACTCTCCACTTGCTAGTCCTGCAAAAAAGTTATATTCGCTACTAGATCTGTTGAAGCAAGCTATCTAAGAAACAATGCTAAGAGATCCACCACGTCTGGTATGTACAGGCCTAAATTCCAGTAATTCGAGTCCCGCAAGCAAGTCTCTCCTTTGAAAGTTCTGTAAAATTTAGGATCATGTCCGCCTCAACTCTTCTGCAGAACAAAGTTTTCAAATCTAATTTATCGAGACGAGCCTTATATGAGGGCAGCGACAGTGGATGGTTTGGGTCAGGGAAAACACGGTAGAAAAAAAACTCGACTTAAAGTCCTCTGAATACTCTCAATTTTGTTTATATCTTTTTTGAGACCAGGTCCATACATGAGAGCAATACTCCAGAGTAGGCAAAACGAAAATCTCACATAGCCTGACCCAAGCATTGACATACGTACAATAAATACTACGGAAGAAACAATACACTACTTTTGAAGCTTTTTTCTAAATGCTGTCAGCATGTAGCTTCCATTCGGGATTTTTAGCGACAACAACCCCAGGATAACAAAACCACAAGCAGACAATCCTCGAAAACAAGGGTGTTGCACATCGCTCGAGCAAGAGAGAGAAAGAACCTGGTACGCAAAAGTGAGGCTGAGATTCCAACGGCTCGTCCATACATTCAGATTCTCTGAAGATTTCATTAAAGCGGTATGTGCGGTGTGCTTCTCAAGGGTTTCTGCGTAAACTCTGATATCATCAGCATAGGAAGCAACTTCAATGCTTGAGTGGGTTTTGAGGTAACCTAAAAGATCACTGGTATATATGATGAGCAATAAAGGAAAGAAAGGAAAACCACCTCGTCGAACACCTGAGGCACAGCCTCCGAGCCGCGAAGTATTAGGTCATTTCATTCAAACTGGCCGCTACATATAGAGGAATGGCAGAAAAGCAAAGGGGATAGAGCGGGCTACTATACCATTTGGAAGCTAGTACCTTAAGCTGTGTATCTGTGAAATTTGGCGAACCTAGCCCCAGAAGAAGTTCTCGAGAAATTGAAAAGAAGCCCGAGTGGTGAAAATTGGCGCCGGTTTTTCAAATCAGACGTCATAAGAGGAAAGTGCGCTGCTCAAATTTGACCTGCGCCGGACCATAGTTGTGTGTAAGGGTGTTCTCGAAATACACGGTGGAAGATTTGGTTCAGGAGCCCGTACAAGAAAGGAAAAAATTTGTTGTCGTGGATGGTCCCATAATATTCATCCTGCACAAGAAAAACGGGTGGATGAAGTCAGGCACTGAATATCTGATCACAGAGCCTACCTTTGTCGGGTTTCCCCGCGAGACTGACATCCCTGCAATTACTGTACGTGTTATGACCGATAAACTGAGGATGGTCAAGGGGGTGTGCGCATGGGTACCCAATTTTCTTATAGAAGCACGAACGCAGTACCGATTCTATACCTCTAGCAGTAATGTTCTCAGCATGAGATGTCACTCACAACTGTGAAAACGCACCCAGGCCTTAGATGAAATATGGGTGGTCTCGGACCTCGAGCCGAAACTCACAATCGTCAATTTTGTATGAATGCAGATGAGAAGCCGCCCGAGTTCTACCATGAAGAGTTACGTGGGCGCAAGTGGATGATCATCATAGCAAAGGATTCCCACACTGTGGCTTTCAAGCGGCTCTATACAGAGAACAAATCCGTCACTGTCGGTGCATATTGCCTGTTCCTCGGCATTCAGATCGACAAATGGATGCTACCACACAACAAGAAGGCCACCGTTGCTCGTCATAGTACGTAACTGTATTGTAGATCAGTGCTGGGACACAAACAATACTGAGACCTGGGTTCAATCGCCCCATTCGCCCGTCATAAAGCCATGCGATTACAACTGTTCTATTCAGTTGAGAGTACTCTCCGACGGCAGACTGTTTTGCATTTGCCGAAATTGGCAACAACAGCAATTTACCCACACTTGTTGAAAAATCGAAGGTACCAGAGGTCCAAAGGCCCTCGGGGCACTGGGAGCGGGTCATTGGTGAAGGAGGGATTTACTCATCCTAAAGCTAAAATATCACTTTTCTATCTATTCTCCTCTTTGTTTTATTCAAAAAACCAGCGGCCAGTTTGAATGGGATGACCTAATAGTCAGCAATACGGACTACCATTTGCGAATTTTGAGATAGAACTTGAAAAACTCCAGCAAATTGTCCCTCACACCCATGCTTCCCATGTTTAAACAGCAAACTCGAGTGGTTCAGTGTCAAATGCTTCACATGAGTCAAAATAGATTATGTCAACATTGCATCCAGAATTCAGGCACTCAGCCACTTGTGCGTGCAGTGCAGCAGTTGGGTGCAAGTAGAAGCACCTGACACAAATCCATGCTGATCTGAGGGTATGTGTTTTTGATAAAGTAGCCAAGAGAGTAAGTGTTCTTTCAGTGTTTTCTCTAGAACTTTAGCGGGAAAAGGGAGAATGCTAATGGGCCTGTAATCCGAAACCATCTTTGCATTAGTTGCCTTAGTATGGGTGCCACTACAGCGGTTTTCCAAAGCTCTGGTACTTGCCCTAACACCAGTGATATGCTAAATATAGTCGCTAGTGAAACACTTGACTCATGCAAAAAAATTCGAAAAAATACTGAGGCATCCTATCCGAAGTCAAGGAAAGAGGCGGCTTCAAATCTCGTAGGTGTTTGGCAACTGTATGAGGCTCTATAATAAGACCAAATATCCTTACTATTTTCATTATCTTCGAAAACGTTCGGGAAGTAGCTCGCTGGAGCTTACCTTTATCAGCATCCTCACTGCATTTGATCTCATCTTCATTCAAAATAATAGGATTGACTGAGGAAGATTTCAAAAACGTTTTAGCAAGTGAACTAAATAACGCATATTTTTTGGGCATTCAAATGTCTTATATTGTTAGATGAATAAGCTTTATATACTCAACTAACTTTTTACATGTGTCCAAATAAGCTGGTGTATTCAAAGGATCGTTGTACAAAGAGAACAACCAGGTTTTTGTTCCATTCGATTTGATGCGTGGGGTGGATATGTCGGCATGCCTAGATTCTTTACACTTGTGAGGCACAAACTGATCTACATATAATTGTTTTGAACACGGAGCAAAAGCAGTGTAAACATCATTGACATCAGCGCATTCGTTGAAAAGGGCAAGCCAGTTGATGTAGACTAGCCTTGGATAAATAGCCATTTTATTGCAAGCGAGAAAATCCCTATATCGAATTGTAGAAGTAAGTTAATAGGGTTCCTGAGAGCAAAGAATAACACTATGATCAGATCCACCTAAGGGGCAGAATGCACACATCGGATACGCTTCCTCTAGAGGATAGGACGAAGTCCATATTGTTGTCTTGTCCTGCTGGCAGGTGGACGTATTGCTGAATCCCCAAGGTTACAAAAAGATCGAGATCTAACAGCAGTAAGGTAACCTGGTTTTGCTGATCCCAATCCATGGACAAATTGAAGTCGCCCACCACTGTGACCTCCATGGGGGTGGTTGTTACAAGTTCAAAAAAAATCGATAGGAGTCGATCGTCCCGCGTGATCGGCGAACAAGGTGGACGGTACACTAGCCAGAGGCGTCTTTTCTCTAAAAGAGCTGATATCTGTACAGATAACATCAGTAAGTAAATTGGGCGGAAAATTCGCAATTATTTTAAAGGTGAGGGCCGTGTGCAGAAGAATGCAGACAGTCCTATCACCACGATCCTTTCTAATCGGCGAATAAGATAGGTCAGCAAGAAGTTCAAAACTGATAATATAAGAACAACCACGTGTCACAGATGAAGAACATATCTGGCTTATACTTCAAAAGAAGAACATGTAGATGAGGAATTTTCTTAAATGAACTTCTGGCATTTATTATAGCGCACTTACAGCGACCCCTCTCACTGCTTATTCGTTTCTTGTGCGACACTCCTGTTAGGAATATCCAGCAGATTCAACGACTTGCCCTTTGTAAACAACATACACTTTGTCACCATTATACTTATCACCGTTTAGCTCAAACGCCCTTCTTCTAAGTTCCTTGTCCTTTGATCGCTCCGGGGTCACGGACTTCCTAATGAAAACATTATTGAACGAAGGCTTTGATCCAGTGCGCTTCGTGGCAGGCATTGCGAACACGATTTTACATAGCTACAGCATCTCTAGGCACGATGAGTAAATGCGACTCTTGCAAATATACGAACGAAATTTCGGATTCCTGGAGGCAGCAGGTTGTTACAAAACTACTCAATTCGTGCATAACTTGTGAAACGTGGAATACGAAACCTTACTTCTATCCGGACAGCCCCGCGCTCCCAAAATGTCGCACGAATCAATCAGTCCATTCGATCACGTCGGCGTCTGCTTTGCAAGTCTTTTCCAGGTATTAGATTCCGAGGGGACATCCAAAGATGGATTTGACTATTTTCCGGCATGGCCACAAGGGCAATGCACCTGGACATACTCGACAGTTCAAGTGCTGAAACATTCATAAAGGGATTACGAGGATCCACAACAAGGAGTTTCTTCAACAGTACTAAGCGATAATGCCACGAATTTCACATTAGGCGAACAAATAGTCACAACGGAGTCAAATCAATGCGCAAAACAACGAATGACTGACCCAATCAATGCATTCCGTTGAACACGTAACATGGAATCCATTGGAAATGTTTTACTCACTTATCCCGATGGAAAGAGGTGTTTTGCGGCTAATGCCGGTACTCCAGGAACCCCGGCCACAGGCGGAACTTATAAAATATTGTAGCAGCCGTTACGTACAACACCTCCTACTTCACGCGCAACATCTTTAAAACTTGCTAAAAGGCAATCGCTTCTGGGTCGTTTTTCCTTTTCTTTCGCCCCGACATCTTCCTTAATGCTGCTTAGCTATCTAGAAGTGTTTATATTGAGAGTACTTTTAAGCTATGATATAACCTACTTCGAAGCAGCTTTCAGCGAATGGCGCCTTGCGTGGTAGATAGTTTTTCAATAGAAATAAATTCTGAAATAAACTTTTACCTTTGTCTGCCCTTTACTGCCCACTCTTGAAAACTCAGGAGAGACGTTTGTAAAATATTTTTGCTGTGGATAGATATAGCTAAAACTCTGTAATCAGAGTAGTTGGTCCCGTGAACACAATCACCACACAAGGTTTGTTACTTATGGATTCGGTATGCGTTCGAGGGTCAAGCTATCCCGTTCAAAAGCTCAGAGAATAGTGCCAAACTATTGCATTTCCAGCGAACTCCTCCAAGCAGGGGTTTTTGAGGCGATTCGCAGCAGTAGGTTACCTATAATTGATTTGTAGATTCCTTTTGTGCCTAACAATTTCTATACTGGAACGATTTGCTGAATCACTACTTGCCTGATAGGGTTGTTCGACGTCCTGATGACGAGTATGGCATTTATTTCTCCATTTAGCGTTCTGCTAAGTTTGAACCTGGGAAAAGGAGTAGTTCCCTTCTAGCCAGGCTCACAAGGGAACCCCAACAGGTCGACCCGGCCATTTGCAATGAGATGTAGATATATGGACGTGTCTTGAGCCGCTGAATCCAAATCTACTCTCCGTTTTTGCGGAACGATTCTCTGAAGGGAGTTACGGACCATTTAATCTTCGTCAGTTCGCAGACATTGAGAAGGATAACTGCATGGGGCAGGTCCTTCTGTTTGGTCGTTCCACCTAGTTTTCGAATATTTGCCAACGGAAGGCGGACCATTCTCTATTCATGGTTCCTTTTGAAAACTTTTATTACGAGGCTAACCGTTTCCAAAGAATTCTCTCTTCGTGATCTGCGCCGGATCGATATGATCAGCCCCTACGATTGTGATCTACCGATTTACGATTTACGATTTATTATCGGCAGACTATTTGAAGAAAACTCAGATATAAGCAGAAAACCACAAACATAACTCCGATAAGTAAAACACAGTAAGGTCATAAACTGAAAAGTCCTGCGAAGTTGAGAGGGAAAACAGCGCAGAAGGGCAGTGGGCGCCAACACTGCAAGTCCATGGCAGCAAATTTAGGACTCCGGATACCAACTTAGTAGGTCCGCCAACCTTGCTGATACCACTCCAACGGCCGCAGACTGAACTTCATAGTAGGGGGGAGGGAGGATAGTAGAACACAACACATAAGAAAAAGCAAGAACATTAGACAG